AGATCCCTTCCCAACTTCACCTGCCTATTCAAAAACGAACTTGATGACAAACTATTATCTTCAACAATTTTCTGTTAAATATTTAAACCATACACTAACAAACATATTGATAGATACTAGACATAAAATATATATATATATATATATATATATATATATATATATATATATATATAGTTAAGTTACGAAGAACTTGGTAAACCGAATGGATAATTCCAAGGAGGATGAAATCCTGAGAGCTCAATGTGAATCCAGAGCTAATATTTAATGAAAAAACAGACCACTTTAAGGTACCATTACAATAATTTATTTCACCAAAATCCTTTTTGAAGGACTCCGTATCATATATATATATATATATATATATATATATATATGAAGGCAAAAGGAAAATGAGTAAATGTAAATTATGTTATTGAAATTTTTTAGGCAATTAATATTTAAATCATTTTAGTATCTTGCTTTCGTTTATTAGTTTACCGACCTGTACAGGTGACTGTTAATGATAAAGTACAACTCAAGACTTCAATGTTAAATAAACAATACTTAATTACAACTGCAAAAATATATGTAACACAAGCAAAAGGAGTAAGAGTTAATCAATAATAAATTTAGTGAATACCGTCTTAGTAGCGTGGCTCTACTTAACGTCCAGTAGTCACTCAATAATCAACCAACAATTAAAACTGGTAATCAACCAATAGTCAACTTGTAGTCCACACTTGCATTCAACTAAACAGTCTGACCAATACTCAATATGTAGTCCGAGATTTACTTGACCCCCATTGTGTCAGGTTGTGACACAAGGTCGGTTTTAATGTATCGACCCGAATGTTTCCACTCAGGCCGCTGGTCTAAACTGGTCTTAACTTGTCTAAGCAGGTCAGGGCTTGTTTAGCTAGTCATAGCTGGTCATACCACCGCTACAGAACAGACGTTATGCAACGGTGGGGAGAACCCAAGTGAGGTGAGACGGTTTATGGCACAGAACAGATACTACAACTGCAGCATCTACTCCGACAGGAAAAAAAAACAAACAAAAAAAACCTTCTCCTTCTCTGCTAATCCCTGCGGAAGGATCCAAGTAGAAAGCCCAATCTGGGAGGAAAGCCTCAGTCAACTCGTAGTCTGAGATTAACTTGACCCCTCACAGAGTCATGTGACACAAGGTCGGTTTTTAACTTGGGGACCCGAATGTTTCCACTCGGGCCACTGGTCTAAGTTGGTCTTAGCTTGTTTAAGCTAGTCAAAGCTGGTCATAGACTGTCTAAGCTGGTCAGAGCTAGTCATAGCTGGTCAGAGCTAGTTATAGCTGGTCATACCACCACTACGTAACAGATGTCAATCAATGGTGGGGAGAACGCAAAGGAGGAGAGAAGGCCTATGGCACGGAACAGATACTGCATCCAAAGCATCCATCTCGACGGGAAAAAAACCCACTTCTCCTCCTCTGGCAACCCCTCTGAAAGAATCCTGAAGGTGAGCCCTAAGCCAACTTGTAGTCCACTGCTGTCAGTAGCCTGACACCGATATTTTTACACCTGGCGGGGAACAGATTCATAAGTCCAGAGCGTCACGCTCAAACGTCAGTGTCAGTAGTTTACCATTTTCTTTCTATATGACAATTAGGCATTAAATGACGTCACTTAGCATCTTCCATAATTTGCCTCGACTTATCAGTTTGCCTGGTGAATATTAATAAGTGCTTCTTACGTTTAAAAGTTTTTAAAAAGTATCATTTTTACTTTTGTTTATAAATAAAATCCTTACATTTGCCTTGATAATTTCCACCTGAGGACGAAACGCATCAATCAAGGTAAGTTTTCCTTTTGTCTTTATTCATATTGCCCTGTTACAGAAATATATTATTCATTTTTGAAATTGTACCTATATACAGGGTGCGATGGGTAAATTGTCGCCATTTTATATTTTTAATTTTGCACATTGATTCTTTTTGATTTTGCCAATTGCACAGTATAGTAGGGTCAGTTGGGCACAGTCTGTGAGAAAAAGAGCACCATGATGCAATTCACTGTACGGCTTGGAATTCGTACCAGAAACTCGAAGTACTGAAAGTCCTGATGAGTGAAAATTACAAAACTCATAGTTGTCTTATCCACATAAACAGCCTCTTGCAGTAACACTCAACCTTGAGTGACCCCTGGGCCTTGTACAAGGTGAAACTCAGTATATATATATATATATATATATATATATATATATATATATATATATATATATATATATCAAATATGTGATGCAGTTCAATTTAATCTTCAGTTTTTATCGAGTGATTTGTAGGTTAATGCAACTTTAAAACTTTGTTTGTGAAAGGATTTCGCCATTTTATATCATTAACTTTACTAATCTTCTTTTTGTATGAATGATTCATTGTAATATATATATATATATATATATATATATATATATATATATATTGTTGATAATTTTTAAATTAATGTCAAATGTTAACTGCAAAATATATCAATCCGTGTTTTCTTTTTTAAATTGACCACAATATGCCTATATATGTTAATTTATTCTTCCTTTTCTTCTTTCTCCACTTTTTCCTCATTACCATTTACTTTCTTATATTCATCGCTGGCAAATCCTTCCCGAGGTATTATCTTTCATTCAACCTTCTATTCATTAACCTTATAGGTTACATATATATATATATATATATATATATATATATATATATATATAATTATAGATAATTAGACTCGTTTCGAAAAACCCTCGAATTTTGATTTGCTAATAATCAAATCAATCTCGAGGGAAAAAAAGGGTTTTAAAAAGAAAGATCTACAAACATGAACTTCTGCCGACAAAAAAATCGCACAGATACAGGTCTGAAGCCCAAAGAAAAAACCCCGATACGAGTAAACAACTAACAAAAGAGCTCAATACAACCGTAGAGCAGATCTAGATACACCTAGTGAGCCAGACAAACCTACCTAGGTTTCACCTAAACGGATCGTTGACTTTCCCTGACGATCCGTTTAGGTGAAACCTAGGTAGGTTTGTCTGGCTCACTAGGTGTATCTGTATATATATATATATATATATATATTGGTGAAAAAAACTACGACAAAGCGGAAAAAAGCTTTCATGAGACACGTTTCGTCCTTTAGGACTTTATTGGACTAAAGTGACGTTATGTTGATGCAACTACACAGGCACTTAATGGAAAAGGGACGCGGAGAATTTTTCAGTTTGTTATGATTTAAGAAAAAGCAATTTATAAACATGGAAATGTTGATGAAATTTCATAATTGTAGAAATAAAGATCTAAAATTTCATCATACTAATAACAACCCTTCCACCAGTGATGATTTATGATTTCAGATCTTTATTTTTAGAATGATGAAATATCATCATGAATCGTAAAAAAAATTAAATTTATTTTTCTTTAATATGTGTATAGTCTAACCGATTTAATTTATGTTTCCGTCACTTTTGTTATAAAATATCCCACATTATGGTAATAAGATCTTCCAAGAACGGTGAAACGATGTAAGAACACGGAGTTAAATTTACTGTTGATGATCTAGCAATTAAAGCACTTTCTATACATTTTCATCTTAGTAAATTACTTTTTCTTAAATCAAAATTATGGTTAGACTAATTACAGTGAGTAATTAGTCTGTCCATAAATTTGATTTAAGAAAAAGCAACTAATGCATTTTGTAAGTTGTTTAACACAACATTGAACATTTCAGTTGCAGTTGTAAAAAGAAATCGCAAGAGACTGATGCCTATACAAAAACAATACATTGTCCGGTGGCAAATGTTTCTGGTGGCGCCAGGGGTGGCACTACTGCCTTGACGACCGAAACTATGTTACCTCCCCTGGTTGGCAGCTAACGAGAGTAGGATATCGCACGTGCTTTCACACGTTGTATTTCGGCAAAAATCCTATACGGCAAAGTTTCCTGCGGCGAAAATGCCTGGGGCGAGTTTTCCTACGGCAGAAATGTTTCCGGCGAATGTTCCACACACGTATTGAATCAACTGCTAGGAAATTTGGTCCACTGTGTCGTGCAAGACAATTCTTCTCGTCAGAGTCTATCTTGCACATTTATAAATCTACCATTCGTCCGTGCATCGAATCCTGTTGCCATATCTCGTCTAGGGCTCCTATCAAATGGCTTGAGATTCTTGACTAAATTCAAATAACTGGCTGTAATGTAATCGATCCTGGCCTGGTATATAGACTTCAGTCAATTTCTTACCGGCAAGGCTCCTCTCTGTCCTTTCTACAAATATTTTCATTGTTCTGATGAGCTTTCCTCCTTGGCGACTCGACTGTATGAATTTAAGTATGCTATAAGATCGGTGACTAGGTCTAACCGTTCTACTGTTGAACTAGTTAGAGCAGTGCTTCTAAAAACGATCTAATATGATATTTTATTTCATTGTGTCATGTACCTGTAATATTTTGTGGTAATATTAATTTATGCCAGAAACGATATATATATATATATATATATATAATGAATATAATAAAAGTTGAATATTTTTTATCTTCCATTTATTTTGCAAAAAAATATTCAAAATCAAAACATATAAAAAGAAATAAAAAAATAAGCTTCAAATGATTCCTTAGCATGGCCTGCTGAACACTGGCTGCGTACTGGCAGCTGATGTTTTGTGTACCGGAACCGGTCCGCGGACCACCATTTTGAGTAGCAATGAGCTAGAGGCAACAGTATGTTCTAATCTAATAGTTTCTTTGCTAGTAACTATTGCCGGTGTAACTCACTTCTGATTTCGTGTTTCTCCTGACACCTACAATCTTCAAAAAATTAAATTCAGCGTCAATTGCGATCTACTGTCTTCATGAAATTTGTCCCTTTATTGTCCTTTCTCTCCCCCTCTACTCTATAAAGTCTTGTCACTATTTTTTCACTCCCACTAACCTACTGCGTCCTAGTGGAATTATCACCTTGCTTGGGGTGAAATGATTAAACAAAGAAAAAAAGAAATGAAGAAACTGAGATAGATAGATAGATAGATAGATAGATAGATATGAAGAGCTTGAGAAAGAAAGAAAGAAAGAAGATAGATAACAAGATATGAAGAGACTGAGATAGATAGATAGATAGATAGATAGATAGATAGAAAGAAAGATAGCAGAACAAGATATGAAGAGACTGAGATAGATAGATAGATAGATAGATAGATAGATAGATAGATAGATAGATAGATTAACAGATAGATATGAAGATAGATAGATGAGATAGAAAGAAAGAATGAAGAAAAGAAAGAAAAGAAAGAAAGAAGCAGAACAAGATATGAAGAGACTGAGATAGATAGATAGATAGATAGATAGATAGATAGATAGATAGATATTTAACAGACTTAGATAGATAGATAGATAGATAGATAGATAGATAGATAGATAGATATGAAGATATTGAGAAAGAAAGAAAGAAAGAAAGAAAGAAGCAGAACAAGATATGAAGAGACTGAGATAGATAGATAGATAGATAGATAGATAGATAGATAGATAGATAGATAGATATTTAACAGACTTAGATAGATAGATAGATAGATAGATAGATAGATAGATATGAAGAGATTGAGAAAGAAAGAAAGAAAGAAAGAAAGAAAGAAAGAAGCAGAACAAGATATGAAGAGACTGAGATAGATAGATAGATAGATAGATAGATAGATAGATAGATAGATAGATAGATAGATAGATAGATAGATTTAATAGATAGATAGATAGATAGATAGATAGATAGATAGATATGAAGAGATTGAGAAAGAATGAAAGAAAGAAAGAAAGAAGAGAACAAGATATGAAAGAAAGATAGAAGAAAGATAGAAGATAGAAGATAGAGCAAGATATTGAAGAGACTGAGATAGAGATAGATAGATAGATAGATAGATAGATAGATAGATAGATAGATAGATAGATATTTAACAGACTTAGATAGATAGATAGATAGATAGATAGATAGATAGATAGATAGATAGATAGATAGATATGAGGAAACTGAGATTTATTTAGGTTAATACACGCAAAGATATAAAAAAAAAGCAGTCTGGAAAAATTTCGAATTGATTTCGGAATATTCCTCAATAAATGTCTCTCTGGGCAAGTCCAAAATGGAATTTCCAAAGTTCTTTCAGAATTCACCACTTCAGCTGGAATCAGCCCCAGCCATTGTTAGAATTAATTAATTTAAACAAAAATTATTAAAACATCAGCACGAAAATTTCACAAGATAATGAAAAGTTCTAAATATGAAATGAGTCAAAAGTGGAACAGCGGATTAACTGAATAATTCGACAAAATATCTGAATGTAAAAGAAAAAAAACAATCTGGAAAATTGAACAATTCCAGAAAACGAAAAACGAATTCAATAAAGGAAATGTGTTGCTTCTTTATTCGAGTCAGGAAACAAAATATTAAACTAATATTATTCATGCAACAACGAACAATAAAAACCTCGCAGAAAATAAATTATTTTTTTTTTATATTTCCAATCCTGTAAAAAAAAAAAAAAAAGAAGTTCTTCCAGCTGTTTTTCCTGGTGCAAAAATAGAATTCTGTTTATTTGGAAGATTCTATAATTAATTACGGCTGAGTTCCTTCTACATAGCAAATTAGCCTCAAACTAGATAAACACCTTGTCGCTGACTTGTTGCAGTGAGTCACAAGATGGCCGAATGTACATTGAGATGTGCGTGATATTTTCATAAGGGTACATTTCCGTCCAATAAAGGGTATCATCTTTTGCAAGTAAGAACAAGTCTCTCAATTATTCTCACCTGATATCCATCCGAAACGTCCACCAAATATATCCAACGTTTTCACAAGCAACACAAACTTAAAATATTTTCAACATTTTCTAATCAGAAGGCGTCATAAGAGCCTTCCAGAGGCGTCTCTCATAATGAAACTAACGTTTTCACAACTGATACTAACTGAAAATATTTTCAATATGTTTTTAATGACTCCTCTATCATGTACAATTAGATTTCGACATTCTCTGTTTTAAACCTGTTAATACAAAACAGAACTGTTTGATTTTCCCACAATTACAATAATACTTAAGGACACTTTCTCATTTTCATACACACAGTTCAACAACTTCAATTCTTTCAAACCAAAACTTTAATAACGCTACAAACAGAACATTTTTAAACTACTTGAACAACAAATATTTGTACCTTTATTGTGTTATATTGTAGAATTAGATTTCGACATTCTTTGTTTTAAATCTGTTAAATGTGGATCACAGCTAAATATTCTCAGTTTGTGCTGAACCCATTAAAATCGGATCCAGAGTTCAGTACGAAACAATGCTTTCTGATTGGTCCATAAATAATAATGTCAAGTTTCTGCCTACGTCCGCACGGTTAACCTCGATTTGACCTGTTCACAGTTCAATACGCAAAAAAAAAAAATGGAAACGTTCTCATGCCTCCCAGGTGATCAAGAAAATTCATAAATATGAAACTTCGAAACGACTTAGTGAGTCCTTAAAATAATCAGTTAATAATGAGTTCAGTTCGGCTGATCGGCTGATCGGTTGAACTCTCTGCCTTTGGGCGGGGAGGAACCCGAACGAGGCTACGCCGAAGGGCGGATTCTCTTTCAGGGAGGTAAACAGACCCTGAACCCGTTTATACGGGTTCAATGGGCATATTTTTTGGCCGAGCCCACAGGCTCGGAAATCCCACGTTAAAAAGGCCTTGTGCCACATGACGCCCTCGTGGGAGGATGACTGAATATCGTCCTTAAAATAATCAACTCGTCACACGAATCCATGAAACTCAACTTCCTCGCTAAAAGTTAATTTTTATTAACATCAACCCGGCTTGTGGAATTCAATTTCTTTTCAATATCAACTCATCTAGTGACCAATTCAACCAAGACAAGATTCAGAAACCAACTCATTCAATATCTTAACAACATAAAGGAAATCGTAACTATATCAGTTGAAGCGAGACAACTCTACAGTAAGCCAAACAATCTATTTCATTCAATAAAATCAACATAAACTGTTTCATTTCTTACCAGATCTGTAGCATAACACCTTTTATATTACTCTTGATCACACAACCAAGAACTCTAAAGAGTTTTAAACAACTTTATTATATCGTGTGTACTTGTTATATAAAAATATTTCCTGCTAAAACAAATATCTGCCTATTTGATTATTTTTCTTGTTGTCTTTGTTGCATTTGATTTAGTAAAAATAGTATAGGGTCAGTTTGATTTGTATTTTTTCACCGATACAGATTGGCTAAACCCACTACAATCAGAAGGCGTCACAATGGCCATCCTGACACATGTCTCATAGCAAAACCATCGTTTTTACAAGAAACACCAACTTAAAATATTATCAATATTTTCTTAATGATTCCTCTATTACACAGAGAGTGTTCTATGTCACATCACATAAACCTTTTTGCAAGTAACCTCAAATCAAGTCACTATAATTATTTTTCTTATTGACACCACAGAGAGAGGGGGGTATCCTTCTCTCCCCATATCTCTGACCGCAGTTTTACATTGATCGTATGGGGGGCGGCGGAGGGTCGTATCAATTAGGCTTTTCCAGCCCCGCGCAAAACCGATTTTGAATTCACAGTTGTTGTTCTCTTCGACTGGTTACTAACCAAAGTTTGAAATTCCAGTCTCTTCTACTATTTAAGCTATAGCTGGGTGGAGATAGAAAAATATACGTTCACACCTACCCTAAACGTATTTGTGTAGAAGTGAACTCAACAATTTCGGCCGGTCTTCGAACTCAGCATTCTAATTCAACTTATCGCGCCGATAAGAACTACGTTACGCACACCTCCCCTCAGTCAGAAACCATCCCCGAATCGGACCTAAGTTGCGTCTCTTAATAAAATCGATATTTATTTTTGTAAGACACACCAAATCCATCCACTATCAATATTTTTTTTATTCATTCCTCGATCAGAAACCCTCTTGAAATACAGCATAAAAATCTGATCTCTTTATGGTTCGGTTTGGTTTATTTTACGGCATATCAACCTCAATTGTTTATTTAATGCCGAAAACATTTTTAGGATAGATTCGTATGAATAGAATATGTATTCTTTGGTTTAGATTGGTTTGGTTTATTTTGTTTTACGGCATATCAACCTCAATGGTTCATTTAATGCCGACAACATTTTTAAGATTGATTCGTATGAATAGAATATGTATTCTTTGGTTTAGATTGGTTTGGTTTATTTTGTTTAGTTTGATTTGGTTTATTTTGTTTTACCGCATATTAACCTCAATGGGTTATTTAATGCCGACAACATTTTTAGGATAGATTCGTATGAATAGAATATATATTCTTTGGTTTAGATTGGTTAGGTTTATTTCGTTTTACGGCATATCAACCTCAATGGTTTATTTAATGCCGGCAACATTTTTAGGATAGATTCGTATAAATAGATTATGTATTCTTTGGTTTGGATTGGTTTGGTTTATTTTGTTTTACGGCATATCAACCTCAATGGTTTATTTAATGCCGGCAACATTTTCAAGATAGATTCGTATGAATAGAATATGTATTCTTTGGATTAGATTGCTTTGGTTTATTTTGTTTAGTTTGATTTGGTTTATTTTGTTTTACCGCATATTAACCTAAATGGGTTATTTAATGCCGACAACATTTTTAGGGTAGATTCGTATGAATAGAATATGTATTCTTTGGTTTAGATTGCTTTGGTTTATTTTGTTTTACGGCATATCAACCTCAATGGTTTATTTAATGCCGACAACATTTTCAAGATAGATTCGTATGAATAGAATATGTATTCTTTGGATTAGATTGCTTTGGTTTATTTTGTTTAGTTTGATTTGGTTTATTTTGTTTTACCGCATATTAACCTAAATGGGTTATTTAATGCCGACAACATTTTTAGGGTAGATTCGTATGAATAGAATATGTATTCTTTGGTTTGGATTGCTTTGGTTTATTTTGTTTTACGGCATATCAACCTCAATGGTTTATTTAATGCCGACAACATTTTCAAGATAGATTCGTATGAATAGAATATGTATTCTTTGGATTAGATTGCTTTGGTTTATTTTTTGTTTAGTTTGATTTGGTTTATTTTGTTTTACCGCATATTAACCTAAATGGGTTATTTAATGCCGACAACATTTTTAGGGTAGATTCGTATGAATAGAATATGTATTCTTTGGTTTAGATTGCTTTGGTTTATTTTGTTTTACGGCATATCAACCTCAATGGTTTATTTAATGCCGACAACATTTTCAAGATAGATTCGTATGAATAGAATATGTATTCTTTGGATTAGATTGCTTTGGTTTATTTTGTTTAGTTTGATTTGGTTTTTTTTTTTTACCGCATATTAACCTAAATGGGTTATTTAATGCCGACAACAATGGTTTTTTTAGGGTAGATTCGTATGAATAGAATATGTATTCTTTGGTTTGGATTGGTTTGGTTTATTTTGTTTTACTTTGGTTTATTTTGTTTTTACGGCATCAACATCAACATCAATGGTTTATTTAATGCCGACAACATTTTTCAAGATAGATTCGTATGAATAGAATATGTATTCTTTGGATTAGATTGCTTTGGTTTATTTTTGTTTAGTTTGATTTGGTTTATTTTTTTTTTACCGCATATTAACCTAAATGGGTTATTTAATGCCGACAACATTTTTAGGGTAGATTCGTATGAATAGAATATGTATTCTTTGGTTTAGATTGCTTTGGTTTATTTTGTTTTACGGCATATCAACCTCAATGGTTTATTTAATGCCGACAACATTTTCAAGATAGATTCGTATGAATAGAATATGTATTCTTTGGATTAGATTGCTTTGGTTTATTTTTGTTTAGTTTGATTTGGTTTATTTTGTTTTTACCGCATATTAACCTAAATGGGTTATTTAATGCCGACAACATTTTTAGGGTAGATTCGTATGAATAGAATATGTATTCTTTGGTTTGGATTGGTTTGGTTTATTTTGTTTTACGGCATATCAACCTCAATGGTTTATTTAATGCCGACAACATTTTCAAGATAGATTCGTATGAATAGAATATGTATTCTTTGGATTAGATTGCTTTGGTTTATTTTGTTTAGTTTGATTTGGTTTATTTTGTTTTTACCGCATATTAACCTAAATGGGTTATTTAATGCCGACAACATTTTTAGGGTAGATTCGTATGAATAGAATATGTATTCTTTGGTTTAGATTGCTTTGGTTTATTTTGTTTTACGGCATATCAACCTCAATGGTTTATTTAATGCCGACAACATTTTCAAGATAGATTCGTATGAATAGAATATGTATTCTTTGGATTAGATTGCTTTGGTTTATTTTGTTTAGTTTGATTTGGTTTATTTTGTTTTACCGCATATTAACCTAAATGGGTTATTTAATGCCGACAACATTTTTAGGGTAGATTCGTATGAATAGAATATGTATTCTTTGGTTTAGATTGCTTTGGTTTATTTTGTTTTACGGCATATCAACCTCAATGGGTTATTTAATGCCGACAACATTTTCAAGATAGATTCGTATGAATAGAATATGTATTCTTTGGATTAGATTGCTTTGGTTTATTTTGTTTAGTTTGATTTGGTTTATTTGTTTTTACCGCATATTAACCTAAATGGGTTATTTAATGCCGACAACATTTTTAGGGTAGATTCATTTTGTTTAGTTTGATTTGGTTTATGAATAGAATATGTATTCTTTGGTTTAGATTGCTTTGGTTTATTTTGTTTTACGGCATATCAACCTCAATGGTTTATTTAATGCCGACAACATTTTCAAGATAGATTCGTATGAATAGAATATGTATTCTTTGGATTAGATTGCTTTGGTTTATTTTTTGTTTAGTTTGATTTGGTTTATTTTGTTTTACCGCATATTAACCTAAATGGGTTATTTAATGCCGACAACGATTCAACTTTGGTTTTTTAGGATAGCATATCAACCTCAATGGGTTATTTAATGCCGACAACATTTTCAAGATAGATTATGAATAGAATATGTATTCTTTGGTTTAGATTGCTTTGGTTTATTTTGTTTTGGTTTATTTTGTTTTTTTACCGCATATTAACCTAAATGGGTTATTTAATGCCGACAACATTTTTAGGATAGATTCGTATGAATAGAATATGTATTCAATCCCAATGGGCTACTCAATGCCAAGAAAAATTCTTTATTGCTGGTAATATTTTGTTTTGCCAAAAATCTGTTTCTGGTAATATATTTCCTTCAAAATTGTATTGCTGGTAATAATTTTTTTCGAAAAAGTATTGCTGGTAATAGTTAACTATTTGCCCATAGCTGGGACCCTAACTGGTGCTAACACCCCAGGTCAGGGTTGACCTGGGAACACCAGCAATTAAGAGGTGGTTTCACACTCCTCAAAACCTCCTGACCAGAGGCCTTGCTGCTGGATGTAGTTTATCGTCTGACCCAAGACATGGATGTAGTCTAACGTCTTAGCCAGTACGGTGATCTCTTTATTGTACTCGCAACATTAGTAACGGTTATTAAGGTTCGTTTGTTGACCATTGATACTTATTGATCCACTTTCAGAAATATCTAAACTGTTAGATCTATACAAACGCTTCCTAAAATCAACGGCGAAAAAAGGTTTTCAGCGAGTAAAGCCTGAGTGTTTCGTAAACATCATCCTCCTTTTAACATTGTGAATTAGCGCTTCGAATATCATGTACTGGCGCTACAGAATCACAAAGAACTGTACCAAATAACAGCAAAAAATGAATGGAAACAAATACAAAGGGAGAATCGAACATGAAAAATTACAATTTAGAGAAAACGAAATCAAACAAGTACAACAATCTAAACATTTGGAAAGTGTTTTAAAAAAAGGACAGAAAGTGCGACACAGAAATTCAAAGACGCACTATGATAGCAAAAGATGCCTTCCAAAAGCTAAGCAAATATTAAGAAACAGAAAGATTTCGTTAGAAACAAAGAGTACTAAAATGTTATGTAATACCAGTCACATGGCAGTGAATGTTGGACAATCCACTTGCAGATGAAGAGACTTGAAGCAACAGAAACGTGGTTCTACAGAAGGATTCTGAGGATAGCAGATACCGAACATGCGAGCAAAGACAAACTTTTAGAGAAAATGGTAACAAAAAGAAAACTTATACTTAACACCAGGAAGAGATAGCGGACATTTCTAGGGTACATAATGAGGAAATACGGTTTGGAAAATCTGTTACTCACAGGACAGGTTGAAGGCAAAAGAGACAGAAGAAAACAGTGCATAACATCCTATACCCTTGTGCAAATTAATTGAAACAACCGTTTTAGTTTCCTTTCTTTCATCATACAGTTAGTTTTAGACCCACTGAAGGTTGTAATCGATTTCTATTTTTTTCTCGGATTAGGTAAGTTGCGTGCAGTAATATGAATCTATTTTCGGGGTGTATGATGAAATTTGTTTGGTCTTGAAAAATATTACGTCATTCGTGATTACATCAGATTTTTATCATGCCC